TAGGGTGAATACATCTCATTACACTGATTTACTGGTAGTCTCGAAACCCTACTTTCATACGAATACTTATTTTTAGTTTGCAAGTAGGGCTCGCTTTGGGCGGTGAGGAGACCTAGGCGAGGTCGAAACTGTAGTTCATTCTAGCCGGGACGACAACACGTTTTAGGAAACAAGGCTTTTTTGAAATTCACTGTAAATGTAAGGTCTACTCGTATGCATGTTGGAAAAGTCAACAAACAGTCCTTCTTCACCTTGCATCTCGTATATGAAATTAACTTTACCTCATATTGAGAAAGAAACATGTGCAATTGCTGTACGGAAATTCGCAAATCCGTCTCATTGAACTCATATGGCGTGTTCCAGCCCAACGGACCGAACTTCCGTCGCTCCTGTACGATGGCATGGAAGAAGATAAGTCCGAACAGCATCTTCTTCCAAATGTGCTCCTTAGGGCAGGAGGTGAAGAATTCCTGATCCGAGATGGGATCACTGAGATAGGAGCGCCAGAGGTTGAATCGTAGCCCCTTGGGCGGCTCGTTGGTCATTTTGACCCCGTTTTGCAGGATGGAAACGGGAAACTCGTTGCTGGGATAGCTGGTCAGCCATAGGCGAAACTCGGGGTGGATGATCTCAGGATTGAACTCCTCCACTGTCTTCTCCAGTGTGCCCATCCAACTGGGCGCCAGGTGACAGTTCTGCAATAGCACCCATGAGCCCTCGCGCAGACCGCGCTCGATCATGCGCAGCGCGATCGGCCCCTGACCCTGACCCAACGAGAGGGAGTCGAACTTCTGCCCTCCGAAGCCCATGTCGTCGGCGAACTTGAGCAGTGCCGCCATCGGATCGGCGCCAGGCGAGAGGACAAACAGCAACGGGGAAATGTTGCTCGAGTCGGCATAGCTACCGGGCAGGTCGAAGGGCGGCGGTTCGATGTACTTCTTGCCGAGGAATGAGCCAACAAACTCTTGAACTGCCGGCAAAATCTTGTCCGGCCGTAAGACTCGAAGGATAAGCATGCGCGCAAACTTGTCTTCGGATAGATCATGACCAGTCTGGCTGAAGCCGGTGGGCAGAGGCGCTGAATGGGGCGTCTGATGGTCGTAGAGCGTTTTCCAGCTCGTTTTGTTCGCCTTGAAGTGTTCACGGATCCCCTGGAACCGAGACAGTTCGTCAAGGCGACACAACTCGTCCCAGTAGGCAGGAGGAAGCCACTCTGCCGGGTTCTGGTGTGGATTGTCGAGGCCGACACCGCCGGTTAGCAGAAATCGCCATTCTGCTTCGTTGATGAAGCCCTGGTGCTTGCGCATGTTGACACAGAGCAGAAGAGAAAAGAGCAGTTTGTCCTTTTCGAAGAGGGAACGACACACGTTGCAGTAGAGTGAATAGGTCAGATAGGATGTCAAATTGGCCAGTCTCGTTGGTAGATCTGAAGACTTTTCCGAGTTTTCAATGCCCATATTGAAGAGATTGATAAACCAGCTCAGCGAGTATTGGTACATTGGATCAATGTTGGCCAAGTCGGCAATGGAGAAAAACAGAATTGTCGAGTGAATTGCCACAGGAACATAACCGGCTCGAGCCTCATCTATCTTCAACTCCGTCTCCTCAAAGTAGGCTTGCTTCTCGGCGATCTCGTTGGACAACTCTTTGGATGAATTGAGCACACGAATGGCGCTCTCATCCTCGAGAATATTGCCCTCGGACGAGGAGAGCACACCCAAGATTTGGTCCTCAAGCTCCTTCAGTTTGCGTTTATTGTTGGCACCTTGCAAAATTAATTTGTTCTTTTCGTCCTCCAACTCAGGTCGTTCTCGGGCAACTACAATGCCCAAAAGCTGGTCCTGTAGACCCTCTTGAGTGATCATGAAGTTGACAAGAGTTACCTTTACTGCAGTCTCAGGTAAGTAATGAGGATTTCGCAACTGAGGCAGACAAAAGATTAAAAATGAGTTTAATGTTTGACCATCCAAAATAAACCGAAAGCAAATACAAAGGACAGCAATGTTGTAAAAAAGTTCAAAAGTTACATATAGCTGGCAAATTACCGGTAAAATTAGGCAATATTATGGGTTGGT